CAACACATGAACAATTAACAACTCCCCAAAGTGGTTTTTGAATAGTAATAATATTTTATGACAATATTAATAAGATTTGTCTGGTTACTTTTGGATAAAAAGAAAGGAAAATCAGAAAATCAGGTTATAGATTGTAAGGGCTTCTCTATTCTACAATCAGCTACTATTTTATTTTCTCCACTTCTACTTTTCTCATTCCTTTTTCTATACTATTACTAAAATCAAGGAGCAACAAGACAACTTTTGGGAACTATCTAACTAGATACTAATTTAAGTAATCTCTCTGCAATAGACAGAAAGTCAGTTTAATCATGTGTTTGTATGAGTAGGAGAGACAGAGACAGACACAGACACAGAGACACAGAGACACAGAGACACAGACACAGACACAGACACACACACACACACACAGAGAGAGAGAGAGAGAGAGAGAGAGAGAGAGAGAGAGAGAGAGATTAGTTGTGTTGGAATTGAGAACAACAATAAAGGGATAACTGTATTCATATTTTTATACAACAAACTATGCAATTGTTGTACATGAACTGTTATTTTCTGGAGTGATTGTTTCAACAAGGAACAAAGATCACAACAGAATCGGAAATAAATTTTATGTATTTTCTTCAACAAGGAATTTAGATACAGAAAATAAATTAGTAAAAACAAATGCTGTGTGATGATCAAAACTATCAGAACTTGATAAGCCAAATAGCTAATTTTCTGCTCTCTGTTCTTCAAACTTATGGCTAACTTGCAGTGTTAAGCTTAAAATACAGTAATTATATGATAAGGCCCTTCAAACCTTGCAAAACACTTATGAGAAAAAATCAAGCTCTCTCTATAGATTAATTCATCTACTCCAATTATGTTGCTCTCTCACCAGCCACAGCCCTGCTATCCTATAAGAAGGAAAAACAGTCAAAATTGTATGGCAGCAAAAAAGATATCTTCTCTACTTTAGAAGCTCTTTTACAGATGTTGTGTCTGTAAACAAAAGAAATAACTTCTTCCAAAAATTCTCAATTTCTTTTGAACCCATCCTAAAGCTTTGTGAATATCTTTATTTCTTAAAGTATAAATGATGGGATTGAGCAAGGGAGTCAAAATTGTGTAAAATATGGAGAAAAATTTATTGAGATGTCTCAGAGCGGGGGTATCTGGCAACATATAGACAATGATAATGGTGCCATAAAAAAGACAAACCACCATGAGATGAGAGGAGCAGTTTGAGAAAGCCTTTTGTCTTCCAATGCTGGATTTGATTTTTATTATGACAATGATGATGCATATATAAGATGTGAATGTCAGAATAAATGGAATGACAGCATCAATGATGGAAAGAAGAGAGACAATGAGGTCAAGAAAACTTGTATCAGTACAGGATAGTTTTTCTACTGGAGTCAAGTCACAAAAGTAATGATCAATGACATTTGGGCCACAAAAGGATAGCTGAGCAAGGAGAAGCAAAGTGATGCCATTAGCTAGTAACCCATTTAGCCATGACCCAGCCATAAGATAAACACACAGCTTCCTACTCATAATCAAATTATAAAGGAAAGGTCTACATATAGCCAGATAGCGGTCATAAGACATTGCTGCAAGGAGATATGTTTCTACAGTTGCAAAAGAGCCAAAAAAATAATATTGGGCCAGACATTGACTCACAGTAATAGTTGCCTTTCCAGTTAACAAATTAGTCAACATTTTTGGCGATATACTTGAAGTATAGCATGTCTCCAGACAGGACAAATTCCCCAGAAAAAAGTACATGGGGGTGTGAAGACATGGGTCAGCCAAAACTAGCATAATAATGAGGAGGTTTCCAGTTATTGTCACAAGATAAATCAACAAGAAAAGTAAGAAAAGCAGAAATTGTAGCTGAACAGAATTCCCAAAACCCAAGAGAATGAATTCTACGATGTCTGATTGGTTCCCTTTCTCTGAAGCCAGCATTTTTTTTTAGTTGATTGCATCACATTCAAAAGTACAGTGTAATCAGAAAATCATGAGTCTGAGATTTCCACTGAATCCCTGAATCCACACTTCCAAAAGGTAGCCTGTATTGTGGGTGAAATCAAAGATATTGTCTACAATGAATCACTAAAACTCTCCATCTGTCTATGAAATTCTTAGTGATCGGTGGTATCGTTTCAATAATTAACCTCAGAAGGTTCTTCTACCTCAGAGTTCACCTATATTTTTCTCTGAATATCAAAAGACCTGAAAAATTGAGAATTACAAGAAACAAGACAACAATGAATGTTAGTGTTAGTCCCATCAACTACCTCCCCCAGCAAAAATTACAGCAAGAATAGAGAGACTTGATCTTTTGCAATTGTCCCTGATAATGATAATGTTAAAAAAAGATACTAACCAATTTTCTTAACACCATTGCATTATTTGTCTAGGATCCTTCCTCGTTCATATTTTCATTTTCTAATGCATAAATTGTACATCAACAGAAACAAGTTTATTATTAGAATAAACATAAAAGATTTTATCAAAGAACTAAGCAGAGGAAAGATAATCCTGAGTTATATTTTCTGTATGCAGGGACTAATATTTTTCATATTTTGCTACAGAATCCATTTTATTACAATCATGAATTCACTTAAAGCTTCTGTTGATTAACCATGTTGGCAAATGAAATAATGCAAATTCAACATATTCTTGAGTTGGTCAAAATTTGTCTGATTGACATTATTATAAGGGAACTATGGTTTAGCTAGTTTGGCTAGCTAGGAATGTATTCTGATTTGTGATCAAGTTTTAGATTAGATTTGGTTGAGAACTTATAAATTTCATCTTATTTTTATAATATTTTTCTTCTTATCTTGCTTGCTGAGTAAATTGAATTATATGTTGAGTAGATATTTATACATATTTATACATATGTAAAGATATAGGTAACTATCCTGCTCTGCTTACTGTTGGACTTTCTGCAAAAAGGATATTGTATTGCTTTGTATAAAATATTGCATTGTTATGTTTAATTAGCTACTTATCACCCCTCAATTTATTTCATCTTAATTTAAGAGGACTGAAATATTGTTTTATTAAAGTATTATCATTGATATGTTAAAATATCATTATTGGTCATCACCATAAATAATCATAGTCATTTTTAATTCTAAGTAGCATCTTTGGCAAACATCATTTGCCAAGATGAATAAGCCCAAATAGTAGACCAGATCATCTTCCAAAAATTCAAAGATAGGCAGGATAGCTTTGCTACCTAAATGCTAACTGAACACATTTCTTAATCATCAACTCAACATTTTTTTATTGAGAATCAGAATTTAGACAGTATTAATATGAAAATAATTTGAAATTGAATGAAGTTTAGATTATTGACATTTTGTTATACTTGTTTCTCCCAATTATGACCTTTAAAGAAATAAATTTAGAAAAAATACTTGGTCCTGAATCATAGCACAAACAAGCAAGAAGCATTGTTTATAAATCACAGTATACAAAAATGATCAAATTATACATACACACATATACATATTACATATACATATATATGAGTTAATTTGATGTCTTCATTTTCTAATTATAAGTCTTGAAGTCTGAGACTAAAACTTACCTGCCTTGAATGAGTATAAAATTCATAGATATTCTAACCTTCACTAGTGCTATATCTTTAAATTGTAGGGTAAAAAAAAAACACTTGGTATATACTGGAACATTATCCATTATTTAAAAAAAGCATCCTTAGAACTTCAAATGAGTACACTGGGGCATTTGAAATTAATCTGCGGGTTTTCTGGAAAACTATAAAATGCAACCAGTCTCCTAAATCCAAAAGGGATTTTACATTAATTATTTTCTCTTAAGATTTCTATCTTGTACACAGCTTATTATTTGAAAAAGTAATTTAAGTCTTTCTCAGGTAACACTTCTTGAGAGTCTGCAGTTGTATTGTCAGACATATAATAACAATTGAATTATAGCATAAGCCAAAGAAACTTTTGTCAGCCTTTTAAGCTAGTCCAGATAAGAAGCACACATAAAAGTATGAGCTGTGCTTTATTGTAAGGTTATTAAAAGAAACTTATAAACCTGAAATTACATTTTTCTACTGTCATCTTTATAGCTCAAGAAACTAGGGAGGGTGTCTTCTGAGATATTTGCCATGTCCACATTATCTGACTATTGCCCTCACTGCACTCTTCCCCCTGTCTCCCAAGGTCCTTTCCACATACATTACAGATTTCATCCAATCCATATATGTATTTACTCCCCCCTCTTTGGTTCTATGTTACAGCCTCCTAGAATATCACCAAATAATTATAATGATAATTCTTATACAATAGCCACACATTTCAATTTCCAAGGATAGAAGCTACTGGAAGGTGTTTATTTGACTTCAATATTACAAAATGTGCACTCACACAAGACCAGACCATTAATTTTGGGTGATAATACATCTTCCCACTATGTGGTCAAATTAAATTCACATTTATGTGATTCATATTCAAAGAGAATGTAATATTCAAGTCTCAATTCTGAAGTCCTAATGAAGATAAATATTTTCTGTTTTAGATAGACAATACCCACTACAAAAATCATACTGGACAATTCCTCATTAGAAGAGAAATTGACAGAGCCTCCCATTTTATTCTGGTGGGGAGCATCAAGACTCAGTGGTTAGTTTGGAATTAATCCCAGCCTCAGTCTCAGGAATTAATAGAATATTGTGATAGACAAAGAGACAGTGATTCCATTAGTGAAGAATGACTCAAAGACTGAATCAATAAAGTCCCAAGTCCTCAATGCAAATTCCTTTATTTAATAAATATGTACAAAATTATATTCCTGAAAAATCTAAATGATGGAACTCACTGAAATAATTATATGTGATAGTATCATATTATAATAATAATGACATAAATAATATCTCAAGGCTAAGAGACTGTAAAGAAGTTTCTACATCCTGGTGACAAAAGATGTAAAATATCAACAACTTTTAATAAATGTCCACTTATTTACATCAGATTTTAAAATCTACAATTAAAATTTTGTAAACTAATGAAATGAAGAGATATTGTAAATTTCAGATGATTCATGTGATGCATTATTTTTTTATTAAAAAGCCTTTTTATGGCTTTGTGAACTTCTTTGTTTCTCAAAGTATAGATAAGAGGATTGAACAAGGATGTCATAACCGTATAGAAAATGGAGAAGATTTTATTCAAGGGTCTGAGGGAGGGAGTGTCTGGCAGCACATACACAATTATTAATGTGCTATAAAAGAGGGAAACCACCAAGAGATGAGAAGAGCATGTTGAAAAGGCTTTTTGCCTTCCAGTGGCAGATTTTATTTTGATGATGGTTCCAATTATGCAAACATAGGAGGTGATGGTCAATAGAAATGGAACAATTATGAAAATAACAGCTTCACAAAAAGCAATTAATTCAATGAGACTTGTGTCAGTACATGATAATTTCTGCAATGGGCGAAAGTCACAAAAGTAATCATCTATGATGTTAGGTCCACAGAAGAATAACTGAGTGGTAAAACCCACCAGAATCACATCAAATATCAAACTATTTATCCATGCCCCAGCCATAAGCTGGAAACAGAGTTTCTTATTCATAATAGAAGCATAGTGTAAAGGTCTACAAATTGCCAAATAGCGATCATAAGACATTGCAGCCAAAATATATGTTTCTGTAGTTCCACAAAGGCACACAAAATGATATTGTATTAGGCATCCATGGATAGAAATGGTTCTTTCACCAGTCAGCAAGCTGACCAACATTTTAGGCAGCAAGATACAGCTATAGCAAGTGTCCAGGAAAGACAAATTTGCCAGGAAGAAGTACATTGGTGTGTGAAGTTGCTGATCAACCAGAACTAGCAGAAAGATGAAGATGTTTCCAGTTATTGTGATCAGATAAATTACCAAGAAGAATGTGAAAAGGAAAGGCTGCAGTTGAGGGGAATTGCCAAAACCCAGAAGGATAAATTCTTTGACACTCGTCTCATTTCCACTTTCAATATGCAGAATTTCTTCCATGTATCAAATGTCAATCAAATCTAGAACATATATCAAGCAGGCATGTTTAAAGGCAGAGTTATGCTAAATTTCCTTATGACTTCTTAAATTTTGCTAAAAGTATTTTGTAAATTTTATTAGCTGATATTCATTATTATTTCACTCAAATAGCAGAGTGACTGGGATTTTACACTACAAGTAGCAAAATCGTACTTCTATCTCAGGCCTATGATTGAGGACAATATAATTGGATCAAACATTTCCATTTCTCTTTCCTTTCCGAAATTCTAAATTCTAAAATGTGATCAATTTGAAATAAATAATTCTATAACATTGGGATCGCTTTCTTTGAAAGCTACATTTTTTTCTAGAGTATTTGTTGTGATATGCACATAATTCTGGTTATAGATATAGTTGTCTCCAAACGAGTCACAATCTTTCTATTTTTTGTAGTAATTTGATCTTGGAATTTAAAAAAACAGATAGATTATTGACCAAGAAAAGTACCAAAGGAAAGATGACTGGACTTAATGACATACCTAATATATTTCAGAAGATATGTGGAACATTAACACATTGTAATTATGTTTATTTGAAAAAGGGAAAACTGTGCAACATAATTACAGTATATAATGTAGTATTAATGAAATAATATTGTATTTACCACAATAATAATATTGTATTTACCACAAATAAAACTTTTTAATAGGAATTCACTCAAGCAGTAACCATGAGTCAAGACTGAATCAAAGACATAAAGAATATAATGTAATACTCACAGAATATTTATTTTTCAACTCTTATTCTCGAAAAATCTGCATTGTATTACCACACTATCTCATAATTTCCTTATCAATAATCAAACTTTAGACAGGAATGAAAATGACAAACTAATCTCTTACTATATGAAGAATAAATATTTTTCTTCAGTCATTCCTGAAATAAATTCTACATTATGCTATCAATCCAGAAGTTGAAACTGCATAGTAAATCATATCTAAAGTCAGCTGTAGCACAAGAAATTATCTTTTTAAGCACTAGAAGTTATTTTCTCCAAAGAAAAATATCATATATTTTCACAAAGAGAAAAAGAGTCCCAATGATTTGTATTCTTTTTTCCCTGGGATGGCTTTATACATTGCATGAATGCATGTTGCGTTTTAACAGAAGGTGGGCTTACACATGTGGTAAAAGTTTACAAACCACAAAGACCAAAATTAAAATATATTATGATTTAGTGCAATCTGCTAAGCTGCTCAAGCAGCTAATGGAAAAGACTGCTATGAAAAAGTGCATCAGTCTTCTCCAATGTATAATTGCTTTGAAACTGGAATTTCTCTCCACTATATTAATGACTGATTGTCCAAATATTTGGTATAGATTTTTATCCTAATGACTTGTGAAGGACCTGTTCTCTGGGCAAGCTGGAGCTTTTCTTGCTATAAATAGAAGTGTTTCTACCAATATATAATTAATTAATCCTGGGAGATTTGGCATTGATTTTCTGGTTTACTGATGCAACTCAGTTACACATCCAAAAGGAGATTTCTCTGCTAATTTTTCTTCCCTGGGATTTCTGTGTTATTTAGCACTTCCTGGTTTTGAGGATTGATTGACTCATTTGAAATCTTTTTTAGACATGCCTTCCTGAAGTATAAAGTGTCATATTTATTCATGAAAATAAAACCCTTTATATTTCTGCCCTCAGTATGTTGAAAAATTGATTTATTCATTAGTCATCCTGTGCCATGGGAAAGGTAAGGACCATAGATCTTGCACAGACTCATTAATTGAAGTCCTTGCCCCCCCCAAAATAGCATGAAATCAAATGCAATATGGAGGATAGTACAATAAGAATTCTGCAAATTCAATATATGCATTTGGATGTTTCTTCTACTGAAAGTAGAGATTCAATACTGATTTTTCTCTAAATAAATTGGACAAGCTGGAGGCTTTTCTGCTATGCTTCAGAAATGTTTCTAAGTATATATAATTAATTAATTTGTTGTTGATTTTCTGGTTTACTGAGGCAACTCAGTAAACACCGCAAAGGAGATATCTCCGTTAATTTTTCATCCCTGGGATTGCTGTGTTATTTAGAGCTTCCTGCTTCTGAACATTTGAAAATTTTCAGGCAGCTCATTCTGAGAGTACAAAGAATTCAGGTCATCCTGAGAGTACAAAGACTGAATTCACATTCAGTCAAAAAAATAAAATCCATCTATACTTTCTGTCATCAGCATTTTGAAAATTTGGCTTGTCATTAGTCATCCTGTATCAAGGAAAAGGCAAGCACAATAGATATTGCATTTATTTTCCTCAGTTAGATTATACACTATCCACAGAGACCATATTGTTTGTGCTATAATTCAATTTTAGAAATTATTGCTGATTTTTCTCTCCAAATTTTCTTATATATTACATTTTGAGCTTCCTGTATTTTTCTATAGATCATGTTTTTTTTTAAAAAGTATTTTTATTTGGAATTTTCACTGAAACTTTGAATCATTAACCTGATGTAGTGTATAGTGACTGGAGCTGTAGTAAGAACTCACTTTTTTAAAAAAAAAATTATCAAGCACACTTTCACTTATTTTTCTTAAAATTATTAAAACTACTAAAGCACATTTAAACCAGGAGATACATATATTATACAATGAAAAACTGAATATAGGAAAAATATCTGTATATTGGCAACAAAAGAAGATGAAAACTAACAACAATTTTTCAAATCAAGCGTCCATTGAAAAATAAATTTCTCAAATAGAAGACTTTGGTGAAGGCATGGTGAATTAAATGAGACTCTGGAGAATAGGGACAACAAAGACCAAAGAACCAGTGAGTAGACTGGTTCTTTGGAAACTTTAAGAACTTTGGAGAGGATGGGAAATCACTTACATGTGCTCTGGACAGCTGTTCCTCATTCTATCAGTTTTGAGTGCTAGGAAACAAAGGGATTAATCAGCAAGCTCTCAACAACAGCAGAGTCATTTAAAGGACACTATGTTTGCTAGCTTCACTTCTAATCATTTTTAGAAATTGTTTATCTAACACAAGGGTGTCAAACTACTGGCGGCCGGTTACATCATGCTGAGACCGCACCCACCCCAGCGCTGGCAATGTAAAAAAGTTGTGATATGTTGCGACACATCATGTGACGCAGCGAGTTTGGCACCTGTGATCTAACATCTTAAAATTAGAAGAGTTTTTCAAAAATGACAAGTTTGAAAAACCACAGTGAATTCATCTTCATCTTCATTCTTCATTTCTGAACAAAAAAATATCAACTATAAGTGTCCAGACAAATTTGGAATACTGAAATTTTTACTGTAAATTGCGCTAGCTAATAAATAAACTATATAAAATAAACAGCTTTTCATGCAATCATATTATTTTGTCTATTAGAAACCTTATGATTTAAATCAGACACTAGAGGGGACTAAAGATGACAGCAAAAAGAGGGGGGGAAATCACTCCTTTTGAGTTTTACAAATGAACAAAGCACTGTAACAGTTGCTCCAAAGGTGCTTTTCAAAAGGCAATTGGACTTTGTTTTTTCCTTGAAGACATTTGCTTCTCATCCAAGAAGCTTCTTCAGTTTGTGAAATGTCTTCAAACAAAAAACAAAGAACATCCAGTTGCCTTCTTAAAAGCATCCTTGGGACAACTAAGAGGTGGATGACAGAATCTCCATAGACACTGTAACTGTTGAAATATTAAAGGAGATCTTTGAAGAACTGAACCAAAAATTAATAGCCATAATATAGCAATAGCAACAGCACATAAATTTAATACCACTCCATAGTTCTTTATAACACTCTCTCAGCAGTTTGCCCCTCATCAATCTGGATTCTCATTTTACTGACCGCTGAAGGATGGAAGGCTGAGTCAACCTCAAGCCCGTCAGGATCGTGTCTGTAGGCAGAGTTAGCCTGCAATACTGCATTCAAAGAACTGTGGTGATGGAATGGTTAGAATGCAGTATTGAAGGCTTATTCTGTCAAATGCCAGCAGTTCAATTCTCACTGGCTCAGGGTTGATTCAGCCTTTCATCCTTCCAAGGTTGGTAAAATGAGGACCCAGATTGTTGGGGGCAATATGCTGACTCTGTAAACAACTTAGAGAGGGCTGTAAAGCACTGTGAAACAGTATATAAGTGTAAGGGCTATTGATATTGATACTGATACTGATACTGATAACCACTGTGCCATCACAGCTCATGTTTCTATGTATTAATAATGTTTAAAAAATGTTAATGAAAAATGGCACAAACCTTGTTTGACACAGAAGTAGTAGAAACAAATATTGGATTTAAAAAACTATGGATTACAAAACAGAAGGTATTATATAATATGGAAACAGTACTTGCAAATCAAAAGAGTAACCCAGATACGATTTTTTATTGGATATACAAGCAAAGCTAGGTGAAGTTTTAAAAATAAAAAGGAAAATACAAATGATAAACCAAGAGAAAGACCTGAATAATGTCTTTTTACTGGATTTACAAAAGAGGTTTGTTAAAGCCTTAAAAAGAGATCAGTTCCCACGAGAATATTTTAATGAACTAAAGATTAAGATTTTCAAAGGTAAAGCAATATAAAGCAGGTTAATAATAATAATAATAATAATAATAATAATAATAATAATAATAATAATAATAATAATAATAATAATAATAATAATAATAATAATAATAATAAAAAGTTGGAAGGTACCCTGGAAGTCATCTAGTCAAACCCCCTGCTCAGGCAGGAAACCCGATACCATTTCAGACAAATGGCTGTCCAGTCTCTTCTTAAAAACTTCCAGTATTGGAGCATTCACAGCTTCTGGGGGCAGGTTGTTCCACTGGTTAATTGTTCTAACTGTCAGGAAGTTTCTCCTTAGTTCTAGGTTGCTTTTCTCCTTGATTAGTTTCCATCCGTTGCTTCTTGTTCTGCCTTCAGGCGCTTTGGAGAATAGTTTGACTCACTCTTCTTTGTGGCAGCCCCTGAGATATTGGAACACTGCTATCATGTCCCTCCTCAACCTTCTCTTCATTAAACTAGACATACCTAATTCCAGCAACCATTCCTCATATGTTTTAGCCTCCAGTCCTCTAATCATCTTTGTTGCTCTTCTCTGTATTCTCTTTATTTGATCAAGGTTAAAATAAGACACCTGTTAATGAAATTTGGGCAACCATTTACAGAATTTTTGCTGGCACTTATGTCTTATGAAGTTGCTTATAGATAAGAAATGGGTTTTGAGAAGACGAGATATCTGTTTGTAACCATATAGTGATGAAGAGCTGTCATATTTGTTTATACTTGTGATAAAGATTGGAAGTGACTTCTTTATTGTTCCTTTCTTGTTCCTTTCTTGTTCCTTTTTCCTTTTCTTTGTGTTCTTTTTTGTTCTTTCTTTTTCCTTTCCTTTTCCTTTTACTCTCTTTTTAGTTATCTTTCTCTCTTTGAGTCCAATCTGTATTAGTTTTCATTACTGTAATTAAAACCATATACATAGATACACACATAAACATATACATGCACACTGTCTGTCTGTCTGTCTGTCTGTCTATCTATCTATCTATCTATCTATCTATTATCTGTCTATACAAACATATATACATATAAATATACATGGAAATACATGGAAAGGCAACAGGAGTTAAAGCAGAATTACCTCAGAAATATGGAGAGAACAGCAATCTCACATAAAACAATCTTGTCCCTCCATAATCTACTCTGAATTCTCAAATAATACTGCTAAACAGAATATACATCACCCTATTGTTGACATCAAATTTTCATTTCCCCAGTAAAATTTTGGCTACCTAAAGAAGTGAAAAGAAATACCAAGGATTATAATTTTATCAAAAAATCGTATTAGGGCTTTGTGAACTTCCTTGTTTCTCGAAGTATAGATAAGGGGATTGAACAAAGGTGTCATCATTGTATAGAAAATAGAAAATATTTTGTTGAATTGTCGGAGAGAAGGTATGTCTGGCAATGTATAGACAATGATTAATGTGCCATAAAAGAGGGAAATCACCATAAGATGAGAGGAGCAGGTTGAAAAGGCCTTTTGCCTTCCAATGGTGGATTGAATTTTGATGATGGTAGCTATGATGTAAATGTAGGAAATGATGCTCAAGAGGAATGGAATAACAACAAAAATAATGGATATGCAAAAAGAGAAGTATTCAGCGAGAACAGTATCTGTACAGGACAGTTTCACCAGTGGACGAAAATCACAAAAGTAATGGTCTATGACATTAGGCCCACAAAAAGAAAATTGAGTCATGAGAGCTATAAAAACTACATTAAATATTAAACTGCTTACCAATGCTCCTATCATAAGCTGGAAACAAAATTTCATATTCATAATAGAACCATAGTGCAAGGGTCTACAAATTGCCAGATAGCGATCATAAGACATTGCAGTCAAAATATATGTTTCTGTGGTTCCACATAGACAGAAAAAATGATATTGAGCTAGGCACCCAATAACAGTCATAGTTTTCTCACCAGTTAGCAAACTGGCCAGCATTTTAGGCAGCAAATTACAGCTATAGAAAGTGTCTATGCAAGACAAATTGGCCAGGAATAAATACATTGGGGTGTGGAGGTGTTTATCAGTCACAATTAAAATAAAGATAAGAAGGTTTCCTGTTATTGTCGTCAGATAAATCACCAAGAAGAAACAGAAAAGGAAAGGCTGCAGTTCAGGAAGATTCCCAAAACCCAGAAGGATAAATTCTTTGATGCTTGTCTGATTTCCTTTTTCTGAATCCAAAATTTCTTCCATTTGTCATATACTAATCATATCTAGAATACAAACCAAGAGGCAGACAGCTTCAAAGGCAGTTACAGTAAATGAAACATTCCTTTCTTATCAGTTTCTTAAACATTCAAAATTATCCTCAGAATACTGGTATCTGTTATTAGTGCTCAACATGGGGCTGCCCTTGAAAAACATCTGGAAGCTCCAATTGGGTCAAAATACAGTGGCTCCATGGTTTTGTGCAGACCTAAGTGTACACATGTATTATCTCTTCTCTGGGAGCTGCATTGGCTTCCAATTTACTTCTGGGTGCAGTTCAAGGTGCTGGTTGTCACCTTTAAAGCCCAACATAGCTTGGAACCAAGGAATGTGAAGGACCATCTCTTGCTGATTACATCCACCCAACCCATCAGAGCAGGGAGGCAGGGAATGTTGTAGGTTAGTTCTCCTAAGAAGGTACATCTGGCAGGACCCAGAAGAAGGGCCTTCTTTGTGGTGACTTCTTCCCTTTGCAATATTATTATTATCTTTGACACTCTTTTGCAAGGCTCTGAAGATCTAGCTTTGCCAACAGGCCTGGAGAACCAGAATAGGACGGAGTCCATCAAGCAGCTTGTTTGATTGCTTGTTGTCACTGGGGTGGGTGGGTGGAGTGGGAAGTTATTGTTTTTACTGTTTTTATATTGGGATGTCTATTTTTTGTAAGCTGCGTAGAGTCAGTGAAAGTGAGTGGGCAGTCATATATGTTCTCTAAATAAACAAATAAAATTAGTTCACCGAAAATCCCCAGGTTAGAAAGCACAGACTTTGAATTAAAGGCCTTAGCCATGAAAGCCAACTGAGTGACCTTGGGCCATTCACTCTCCCTTAGTCCAACCTACCTCAGAGGGTTGTTATGAGGAAAATAGGAGAAAGGTGTGTTGAATATGTTCACTGCCTTGAGATATTTCAAAAAATAATAATGCTGTCATAAAAATAAATATATAGCAGGATAACTCAGATTTCTGTGTAAAAGTAGTAACACTTTTTTCTTCATGTCTACTTTGGGAAGCAGTATAGTTCAGGCAATCAGGCATTTATATTTCTTTTCTCCTTGCCAACCATACCTTCTATTCAGCTTCTGCAGATTTTTAAGTTGTGATCAGGGTGATATAAGTAATTCTAAAGTGTTGGGTCACTTTTCTGGAAAGCAATATGAAACTCTCAATAACCTTAAAAGATATATTAGATATGTACATTCTGGGTGCAATTGTACATCTAGTTATACACTCCACAACATATTCTAATTTTTAGAATAAATTGATCTTGGAATCCCACCACCAAAAATAAAACATTTATTTACCATGGGATGGATGCATCTGCAGAAAGATGGTATGGAAGATAACATGCCAAAAGAATTGCAAAAGTGATGTGGAAGGTTTAACACATTGGAATTACAGCTGTTTGAGAAATAAAAAGAGAGTTACATAGTTATTCTTTATAACAAATTAGGAAAGCTATCACTAATCACTTTTAAATCATCAAAAGCTGATACATAATTTTCTAAACATTCCAATAGTAAGGTTGCAAGTATCCACAGAAGTATGCTTTATTAATTTGTCTATTAAAGAAATCACATGATTTACCATCCAGAAAAACTATCTTCCCAGATGGAGCTGAAATAAAATATTATGAGTTAGTACAAAGTAAAAAGCCATCTAAACTTTGAATGGAAAAGAAAGAGGACTTTCCTCAACATAAATTATGTGTGAAATAGGATTTTTTTTCCAGCAATATTTTAATGAAAGATTGTTGAAGAATTCAACATTGATGTTTTGTCTACATCACTGCTGGAAGATCTGTTCTCTGGGCAAGTTACAGCTCTTTCTACTGTTAAGTGCTTTTAAGTATGTGTAATTAATTAATCCTGGGAGATTTGTAGCTGATTTTCTCAGGCAACTCAATTAGACATCAAACGGACATTCCCATGTTCATTCTTCTTCCTTGGGATTGTAATGTTATTTAGAGTTAAATAATTCTGAAGATTGGTTGACTCATTTAAAATATTTTTCATAGAATGCATCCTGCTAGGTCACATTTATGCACAAATGATAAAACACATCTACACTTTCTATCATCAGCATGCTGAAAAATTGGCTTGTGTAAGGGAAGAAGTGGCAGAACTTGGGGATTAGCCTAGAATTTCAACATAGCCACAAACAAACTAAACCCAATGCTATTGTCTTGAATTCCATTGATCCTTACCTAATTCCTAACAGGTGATAACTATTAGTTGGGAATATTCCAGTGTATAAGCATGAGTAACAATAAATCACTTTTATTCAACCTTCACATGTGGATCTGATCTATCATGCCTGACAATTTGCACATTAGTCACTTTGATGCATAGACAGTAAAAAAAAACCATAGATCTTTCATTTAATCCCCTCAGTGTGTGAATGGGCTACTCTTATAAAACAGGTTATGAATAATAGAAAGTAAAATTTGAGAAAATATTTATTTTCTTTTTTTCTTTTTTCTTATATTATATTTTCTCTTGACATTTGGGTCATATAATTTTTTTACTTTCCCCTAGATTCTTCACTGAAATTTGAAGTCATCAATCCTTTCCAATGAAACATAATGATCCAGGGAGTGAATTTTAACAATATATTCCAAGCTATTGAAAGGTTATTCTGAAAAAAAGAGTAAGATCTCAGATGGTTGTGGGCTCCAGTTGATGCTGCTAAATGACAAGTCAGCCTCTGTAAAGGCTCACCTCATCCAGGTAGGTATGTATTACTGAGGCCTGTCTGGGCAAAGAAAAGGGAATGCCCCTTTCTAGAAATGTGTCTAGAAGAATTTCAGTTTGGCACCAACCACAAGTCCATAACAAAGAAAAGGGTGCTGCTATTGTCTATAGGAGGATGTCAGGGGCTCTGCCCTGCAGATCGTCAGGTGTGAGACTTTACAGGTAAGGTTAAGAATCACTTGGCAGCCTTCCTGCCCAAGTTGTCATCAAGTTGATGACAAAGATTCCCATACTTCGTTTGGGGGGATTTCAGTCTACCATCATTAGAGACTCAATGCATGAATTCATAATCACCTTTACAACCATGGAGCTGACTCGACTTTTCATGAGACCCCTCCACAGGAAAGATCACACACTATCTCAGGGTAATGGCTATGTGATCTGGAGTTGGGATATGTTGCCATCTATCCCTTGTCACTATCTAGTTTATATTGATATTTCCATAGTACTCTCCTCCATTTGAAGGGGAATAGGATCTATTTGATTAGCCTGCTTTCAACATCTAATGTCCGTATGGAATTTCAGGGGAGCTTGGGGCTTTCCCTGGGTTTGTTACACAGTTTTATTAAGACCTTTGTTGCTGCCTGGTATGAAGCAGCAGGAGCACTTTCTATTGTATCAGACTCACAACTGGTATACAAGGTATCTTGTGCAGAATTTCATTTTGTGTCCCCTTTAAAAAGATTTTATTAATATTGTTGTAATCATTTTATGCATTCATCTATCTTCATGCCCAAGACCGGTGTCCATACTTATGTTTCAGATGAATCATGATTTGTTTTTATTTGCATCTCTTCCTCCCCTCCCCCAACAAATTTAGCATTATTGCATGGCACACAATTTTCATATCAGGTTGTGGCAGCTGTGGACTCTGATGATTCCGTTGCTCTTGACTTGTTCTTAAGACAACTTCGGAAAGCCCAGCCTGTATTGCAGTGAGCTGCTAATGCTATAATTGTGAAAACAGGAATAATTTGTTTTTCTATTTTACACTATTTTTTGATTCATGGATCTGTGTATGTAATGGTAAGTAAGAAAGATCTTAGAAGAATGGGCAAAGATATGCTGCCAATAGACCAGTAGGATAAGAGACAGCATAGACCAGGGGTAGTCAACCTTGGCGCTTTTATGACTCGTGGACTTCAACTCCCAGAATTCCTGAGCCAGCTGACCGTCATAGACCATAGCTGGACCGGGGAGGGAGGAGAGGCAAGAGGTTCAAAAGGAACCCTCCCTAGGTTCTTGGACTGTATAGAAGGGAGAGAATTCTGCTTCCAGACTTTCAAGATATTATCAACATAGCTTTAAAATAAAGTAGAATTAGCTCACCTGATTGTAATTCCTATCTGATTTGCCTAGCAAGGCCAACAATATAATAAAAATACTGGTAGCTGTTTCATACACAGAAGTATCAATGCTTTAATTCTCAAGACCCTTAAGCTAACCAATTTGGGAAATAAGAACCCTTTGGATTTCAGAAAGAAACTTGCTAATTGGAGTAATATTTAACAAGTCTAAAAATATATAGCAAACCAATTAGTACAGGTTATTCTCAACCTCCTTCTTTTCATACATTTAATCCTGCAGGACTAAGTAATCTCATCTCCAGCCACCCTGTCTTCTCATTCTGGTTTCCATTCCATCACATGTACATTGTAAGGATATTGGAAAATAAGAATAAAGGAAAGAGAAAGGGACAGAGGAGAATGTCTATTGAGATGAGGAGACATTAATGTCTCCAGATTGAAGCCATGTTATCTAGGCATTGCACCTTCATCTGTTGAGTCATTATTTATTATTTGTTTGTTTTTTGTTTGTTTATACCTTTGTTTCTTCATGTTTCCATATATTAGACTTGTAGAATGTTCAGGGTTCTGGGCATTTCTTTGGTTGGGGCAGACTGGCTCTGCATACCAGTACAGATACTTTCCTACAGACCTCCAATCACTTTGGTTCTTTAAAGTGCATAACGTTAGCACAACATTATGTCATGCTTTTCACCTTCCATTATTTCTCAGAGAAAATCACAATGAAAAAACATCAGTATTTAGACTTTCAGTATGTTTGCACTTTTCACTGTTAAATGAATGTCTGTCCTTACACATTTTTGAGATTGTTCCTTTTCCTTGAGAAAAATCAAAATCTAGTACTAACTTCAAGCTTCCTTAGTTTTATTAATTGAATCACTTATTTCACAGATTAATAGAGGATTCTGCAGAGCTTGAAGACCAAACATAAGGTAGTAAACATTCCTGAAATAAGCCCTACAGTGAGTCAACAGAAAAAATTATGTATGTATGCATCTATGTGTGTATTTTTTTTATTTGTCTCACATATGTCACTCTGAACTAATTATAATACAAATAAATAAAAAGCCAAACAAAACATATACAATATAGAAAAACAAAACTCAGAGAAGCCAGAATCATGATACAACAATTAACATAGCCACCAGATGGCCTCTGATAAATATCCAGAACCCAGATCAGGCACAAAACTATACTTTCAAGACCAGTGGGGCTGGGCCATTTTGGATGATATTTCAGAGGAAATTCCATTGTCAACTCCAGCTTGAAAATGGTGCTTAATAGAAGAATTGTAGAAGCTGTAGGCTTTTAAAAGATCTTTCCAACTGGACAGTTCATAACTTCTAAGAATTGGACAGGGGGGGAGAGAAGAGATTTTGTGCTGCTAGAAGCAGAATTTAAAATAAACATACAAGATTCTTCAGTCAATATCTCCAATAATTGGCACACATATTTGAATTAGACAGAAAAAAACATAATTCATCCAGAGAATATTTAACATGTGATTTCTGAAATCATATTAGAAAGAGGACCAAAAATTTTAATAGGGAAAGGATTGCATAATACTGAGTATCATATTATGTAAGTGTTGTATAAGTAAAGGAAGACATGACAATAAAGTATCCAAATCACTGTGATTTATCAGAAAAAAAAATCTTCTTCCAATTTCATGTAAAACTAAAGACAAAGGTTCAATGCAATTCCTCTACTCTCAGTCAGACATTAAGCATGAAGCAGGGTTTTCTTCTCATATCTTCTTAAATTGAAAGGAATACCATAAACCTATATGTGTATGTGAAGTATTACTTGCTGTCATAAATATTACTTATTTGCTATAGCTGATCTTCTGAGATAAAGTGTATAATAATACTATCGCTTTTCCTGCCTAAGAAACTGTCCCAGTGAGAAGAACTGATAAACGACAATATAAAATCAAAATACAAAATAAGAATTACAAGATTATCAACTTGTAATGCTATTCATGTATCTATTCCAAAATATTAAGGAAATAATGATGACACTTCTAAAAAGATATGAAAATATCATTTTGATTTAATATCATAATGCTAAAAAGAGGAAACTTAAATGATTCCATAATTCAATTGTTCTATTATTTAGAATGTCATAGGAAATAAGAAATAATTGAATCTGGTATTGTGATTATCATGAACTTGCCCTTCTCCTTGGCCTTTCATGTCAAATATATATGGAAAAAAATTACTTGAATTTGAACAACTACAGTATACATCTTTATTTATTTATTTATTTATTTATTTATTTATTTATTTATTTATTTATTTATTTATTTATTTATTTATTTATTTATTTATTTATTTATTTATTTATTTATTTATTTATTCCCAAGGTTAAAATCCAAAATAGGGGGGAAAAATAAAAAAATTACAATACAAAAACAAAGGAAGATATTTTGTATAAAACAAAATATCAAGCCTATACACAAAATGTCTCCCAGTTGGACACTGATAAAAATATTTCAGCAACAATTATTTCCTCCCCCTTGCGAAACAAGTCCATAATTTATAAACTTCTACATCTATATTTGCAAAATTGCTGTATAACATTTAAAAATATCACAATTTTAGAAATCTATTGCCAATCAAGCCATTTGACCTACCATCTATCTACTAAAGAAAAAACAGTTAATAGGTTGTCCTAATCACAAAGCTAAATCTCAAAACCCTCTGTTAACAATCTAATATGTTTAACCTACAAGAAGTTTACAAGCGGCTTCTATTGTTTCATAAATACACTATCTTTGTCTCTGATCTGGCCAGGTTCAAATACCATGAACTGATTCTTGACAATAGTTTAATGAAGAGAAGGATGAGGGGGGACATGATAGCAGTGTTCTAATATCTCAGGGGGTGCCACAAAGAAGAGGGAGTCAAGCTATTCTCCAAAGCACCTGAAGGCAAGACAAGAAGCAATGGATGGAAACTAACCAAAAAGAGAAGCAACCTAGAACTAAGGAGAAACATCCTAACAGTTAGAACAATTAATCAGTGGAACAATCTGCCTCCAGAAGTTGTGAATGCTCCAACACTGGAAGTCTTTGAGAAGAGATTGGACAGCCATTTGTCTGAAATGGTATAGGGTTTCCTGCCTGGACAACATCCCTTCTAACATCATCATCATCATCATCATCATCATCATCATCATCATCATCATCATCATCATCATCATCGTCGTCGTCGTCGTCGTCGTTGTTGTTATTATTATTATTATTATTATTATTATTATTATTATTATTATTATTATTATTATTATTATTATTATTATTATTATTATTATAAAAACAGCTCCCAGTATATCATCTTTGCTTTTCTTTGAATTTATGAATGGAATATTCCAAACAACTGCTTCTCATTCTTCAAAAAAGAAGGACTTCATTAATAATATCTCCATAATACTTGCTGTTCAACCATTTTTTCCAGTTATAATCCAATGTTTCTTGACAATCATCCTCTAACTGCATTTTATGCAACAGAGAGTGTCGGAAGTCAATACCTTTTGTTTCTTCACATCCCTTTCTTCACATTCTTTTGTTTTCCCTTTCTCTACCATTGTCCCTTACTATTTGCTTTTGTATTTTCACATTTTACATTATAAATGAATAAAACTTTTAAAAAGTTCATTAATGTCTCTCTAACAAATCTCCAGTTTTCAAACAAATCATCTCTTTAGAATCTGTTAGCAGCAGATTAACTTCCAATTCATCCAATTGCATGCCTGATTTAGCTACTGTTGCCTGTGTCTATATATCTTCTTTAGATTGATTTACAATTGTAATAAATTCATCAACACTTTTATTCAATTTCTCATTTAAAATTTGTAAATTAGTAAAGATTTTTTTCAAAAATTTCCAAAAAGGCTTTAGCATTAAAATTATCTGAGTTTGTTTTGAGTTTCATTTTGAAAACAACATACCTATATTTTACATAAAAGATTCCAATTTTCTACAATCAATTAACCAGTATCAACATCACAAGAGATTTGGAGGTTAATGCCATTTCTAACCTAGTGGCATGAAGTGATGCTATTCAGTGTTATAACCATCGTGATCTCAATCAGAAACTTCAGCCATTACAGCTAAATAGAATAGGGACCAATTATTGACCTTACTAATTCACACTTAAATTCAAAATATAATAGCCAATAAAATTAAAAATAAATTTATAGTTTCAAATTATTTCTACTGACAATTATAATTTTACCATAAAGTAATCTGAGAGCTTTGTGGACTTCTTTGTTTCTTAAAGTATAAATTAGGGGGTTTGCCAAAGAGGTCATCATTGTATAGAAAATAGAGAAGACTTTATTGAGGTATCTCAGGGTGGGATAATCTGGCAACACATAGACAATGATTAATGTGCCATAAAAGAGGCAAACTACGACGAGATGAGAAGAACAAGTTGAAAAAGCTTTTTGCCTTCCAGTGTTGGATTTGATTTTTATGATAGTGCCAATAATCCAAATATAGGAGAGGAAGGTCAACAGAAAGGGAACAATTACAAAACTAATGCTTATGAATAGAAGGACGAGATCAAGGAGATTTGTGTCAGAACAGGATAATTTCTCCAGTGGATGGAAATCACAAAAGTAATGGTCTATGACATTAGGGCCACAGAAGGATAATTGAGCCACAAAACCCACTAGAATAATATTAGCTATCATGCTATTAATCCATGTTCCAACTATTAGTAGAAAACAGAACTTCCTATTCATAATAGAAGCATAAAGCAAAGGTCTACAAATTGCCAAATAGCGATCATAAGACATAGCAGCCAAAAGATAAGTTTCTACACCTGCACAAAGACAGAAGAAATGATATTGGGCTAGACATCCACTCAGAGTTATTGTTTTCTTAACTCTTAGCAAGTTTACCAGCATTTTAGGCAGCAAAGTAGAGCTATAGCAAGTATCCAGAAAAGACAAATTTGCCAGGAAGAAGTACATTGGGGTATGAAGATGCTGGTCAGTCACAACTAGCAGAAAGATGAGAAGATTTCCTGTTATTGTTGTCAAATAAATCACCAAGAAGAAACAGAAAAGAAGAGGCTCCATCTTAGGGGAAGTCCCAAAACCCAGAAGGATGAATTCTGTAGTTCCTGTTTGATTTCCTTTTTCTGTATCTAGCATCTCAAAATGACACTTCAGATCTAGAATATATAAGAAAAAGAAAACAAATTCAAATCTAAATTTCTGAAGCACTCTCTTTCTCACTCACACTATAAATAAATATTTGGAGAATTTGGGTAACTAATGTCCAATCATATATCAGGAAGGGTAGATTAAGCTAAAATAACATGGGTAAAAACTGAATACCCCCTTATTGTCTTAGTTGTTTTATAAAAGAGATGATATGGTTATGAAATCTTTGCATGATGACTCATGGCTCAGTTATTGTCCGTTCTCTTGACCCTCCTAAATATAATTCTATTCAATTCTCTATTGTTTACTTAGATTAACTATAATTCCAAGGCAAAATAAGGAAATCAACAACACTGGGATCCTGTTACTAGAAATATTAGAGTATTGCCTATAACTATTGGTTATAGGTGTTGTATTTAATTCAACCAAAACTGTTGATTTTAAAATCAATTGAAAGATAAAATTTTTGAGTAATCAACTGCCTACAAAAGGACGATCCTAAACTTATCATGCTTTATATCTTCTGTATCACCAATTTAACAATATATTCCCATTAATCTTAAGTAAACCTATTTTGTCCTGTTAAGAATAAACTCTTGTAATCTAAACATTGCCTCTGTGTTCAGTAAATTTCTTAGAACTTTCTTGATCATATAAGGAAACATTCATTAGGGAAACAAGAAGGGAGAATGCTGGGCTTATTATTTCCTAAATTTATTGAAAATATTCAGTAAATTACATAGTATTAGATAAATTCTTGAAATGTTTTCTTGCTGTATATATCAGCCCCAGAGTATCTATCAAGCCCCTATGGAAAATTTGTCCCTTTCCTAAATGTAATAAAACCATCAAGATATATAATGCATTCAAAAATCCATATTAAGCAGCTGGTATAATTACATGTTGAAATCTGAGGTCCCTAGGCCCCTTTATCTTTTAAAATTTGTAAATTGTTGAATTTAAAGCCTGATCTTTTGTGAGACCATGTAAACCATTACTTGTGCCAGCCATTTACTATCTTATTCTCATTAAGAACTGTAATCATTTGCAACAATTTTCAATCCTGGTAACATGTTAATTATTCCTGTGGCATTCTTCCTGACTGAGAAAAATTAAAGATTTACTAAACAAATTAATGAGATTCAGTTTGGTGAAGTAATCTAAGGCTAACTGTTAGCTTTTGGATTTGTCTGCATGGAATTTCAGTTTCAAAAATAAGCTTATGTGTTCCTCTGATATTCCATAATGATCACTTATCTATGTTTGATCTACTGAACTTGTAACTGATGGAACAGGATAGCAACAGGTAGGCCATAACCTTTGTTAAAAATGACATAAAAGAAAACATTTGGCAGGTCTTCATAGCTTCACATCACAGGTCTAAGGCATGTTTGGAATAGTGACTAAAGCAGTTGGCTAGAAATTAGGAACTTGCAAGTTCTAGTCCTGCCTTAACCACAAAACCAGCTGGGTGATCTTGGGCCAGTCACTCTCCTTCATCCCTAGGAAGAAGACAATAAGAAACTATTTCCAAATTTTTTGCCAAGAAAACTGCAAGAATCAAAAGAAAAATAGGAATTGGTTTATATATTTAATAAAATGTTGACAAGTAACCTTATATTTGTCTTGTCTATATCTGATAATTACCATAAGCAATCATTCTTTTGATGAGACTCTGCTCTTGTATTAAGGAGAAATATTTTACTTCATTTGTTCTTTAATCAACTTGCTCTGTAAATCATAATGTATTATTCAAGAGGACCAAGATTGCATAATTCATAATATTCCAGGATCATATGAGAAAGATCTCCCTTTGGAAGTTTTAAGGTTACTTTCCTCAAAGGACAAAAGCACTTTGCCATAGGCTTTCAAAAATGAGCTAAAGAGAAGAACTTAGCTTCTCTCTTAGCTTTTTTAAATTTATAACATCTGGGCTAGATTTACTCATGGTTCAAATGCATGTTCTATTTTAAAAAGGATTGTTAAATAAATCACAATGGTTGGGTTCCTTGATAAATCATGATTTACTAAGCACAGAAATAACCCCTCCCAGATTGTGTTAAATCACAATGAAAATGTGTTATAGTTTGGTACAATCTGTGAATTCATCAATGTTTGAAAATAGAATTTACCTGGACAAAATACCTGTTATAGGTGTTCCGAGATTGAATGTCACTATTTCTCAAAGCGATTGCAGAAAAAATTGCACTCTGGGCAAATTTTAAACACTGCCTAGATCTTATGAGACAGTTTCAAAAATAGCTTTCTGTAAACAATTAAATTAATCTTGAGAGATTAAGATTATTGATTTTCTGGTATTCTCTCACAAGAGGATTATGAATCCCAGAGGAGGTCCTTTATTAATATTTGCTCATTCTAACATAAAATGTGCAAGAAGTCATCATAACAGAAAGAAATCATAACATTGTTCTTTTACATAAAGTTTAAATTATTCATACTAATTTATTTTCTGAAACAAAATATAATAATAGTGTTATGGTTCCGATAGATGAGACCAACTAAAACAGAATTCTGAGGCTTGAGGTTTCCTTTAAGAACATGTTTATTGGTTACAAAGTATCAGCACTGTCAAAAGTGAAACCAAGACTAAAGTTCTCTCCAAAAAGTTACAGTATACAGAGTAAACTTCCCACCCCAGTACTATGCAATCAACTATATTTCCCAATAGGATAGTTTGGCAGGCTTTCTAACAGAAGGCTCACCCACCCCCACCCCCAGTCTAATGAACAGAAATTACCTTGGTTCTCATGAAACAGAGAATTGTTTAAGCTAGCAGAAAAATTCCAAAACTACCCTCCCATTCTGGTGGCAACCGAAAACAAGCCAAATGGCTTAATTCAGGTTTGTTGCACAGTTAACAGTCAGACCCACCCCCCAAAGAAAAAACAGATCGTGTAGAGAAATAAACAGAGAAGTTAGGAATCTCCCTGAAGTTTCTGGGGATGCTTATCATAATTTTTTTTATCAACCGATCTGCCTTGATATCTGTATTTTTCACCCATGTTGCCTCTGACAATGGATATCCCTTCCACTGTACTAAGTACTTTAATCTCCCCTTGTATAATCTAGAGTCAAGGATTCATTTTATTTCATAATGAGTCTCCCCCTCAACCAAAAGGGGACCAGGTACTTTATTATATATTAGTCTTAAGGACGACTCTCTGAGAGGTTTTACCAAACTACAATGGAAACAGGGTGAATCTTCCCCAACAAGTGAGGAAGTTTTAACTCCACTGTCACAGGATTTATAATTCTAACTATAGAAAAAGGACCAAGAAATTTCGGTCCCAATGTCTTGCTAGATAATTTGAGTCTTAAATATTTAGTTGAAAGATAGACTTCTGGTTTTCCACCCATAGCGCATGGCCATGTGAGAGCAGACCTCCACTCCCCACGACTAGTTTCGTCCTGCCAGGGAGACCCTAGATGGCTCCAAAGTCACCCTGAAAAGGTGACTGTGAAGGAGGGGTGCCCCGTTGATCACGAAGTGATGGCAATCACTTTGTTTGATTCAGGGGAAGCCCTCTGAACCTGACAGGAGAAAGGCTAGCATGAGATCAGTGTCTAGCCCAAGCTACTTACAGCCAAAGTCCCAGAGCACGAACCTGAACATCGGTTATTGGAATTAATGAGAGTACTGATCTTCTTTCTTCTATCTAGAAATTGAATCCTTGAGAAAGATCCCCAAAGCAAGAAAACCTCCAGAAGTGAAAGGAAGGGACTATATCCCCATTCTCTTACAGATGGAAGCGGCGAATTAATATTAAGGAGGAAAGAGATATACTAAAATGTTGAATATAAAGGGGCTTTATAACAAGAAGGATAAGAGATTTAAGTAATATAGTATGTTCTATAAAATATGAAATGTAAAAATAGCAGGCTGATGTAACTTTTATTAATATAAGTGAAATATAAACTGATTAAAAAGGATTTATATCTAGATACTATAAGATAGATAAAAAGTATAGTATTTTTATAATGCATGACATAAAATATTGGGATGATGTACCTAAATGGGAAAATTTGGACAGTTAGATGACTAACATATGAAGAAATTATGACTGATAAGAATTGGATTGAATATAAGGGAAATTAAGCGTAAACAAAAATTATGAAAATGGGATGCATGCTGAACTAATGAGATGATGGTTATAAGAATAATATAAACTGAAATAAATGTTACACATAGAGATTATCATTATTTGTAAAAATATAAAAAATGCCTATATCTAATCATTTATCTATTAAAAATATTAAGAATTAGATTTTGGTTAAGGTTGAAGAAGGAGAATATAAATGGGAGAAGGGAAGATCAAAGAAATATATCATTAATTAATATATTAATTATGGAATTATCAAATTTAATCATTATTGATTGTTAATTAATTATTATTGTCATTTTTTTCTTGTTAAAATATAAACCAAGACAACATATATACACTACCCAGAACAGTCTCTGGGGGTATCGCTTCTTATCAACTTGTTTCTTGTATGTTTTTGCATCTTGTGTTAGAGCTTTTTTTATATTAGTTCAAACAGTCTACCATGATGTCACCCATTGATCTAAAGTTTGTGAGGCGGGTAGTTCTTGGGGGTATTCAGGCATAAGAACAAACTCTCGGCCAGTGGCTATTTTAAATGGAGTAAGCCCACTACTGCTGTGCACAGTATTATTGTAAGTCACTTCTGCAAAAGGCAGGAGGTCAGCCCAGTCAGTCTGTTGGTAGTCAATGTAGCATCTGATGTTTTGTTCTACCATCGTGTTAGCTCATTCAGCTGATCCATTTATGCTCAGATGAAAAGCCAACAAAAGTTTTTAAGTGGACCCAATTAGTTTGAGAAAGTGTCTCCAAAACCTTAACAGTAAATTGAACTCTCCTGTCTGATATAATCCTCTTTGGAGCTCCATGGAGGTGTTTCAGAAACATCCTGCTAATGTCTTCGCAGAGGGAAGCCCAGAGCAGGCT